CTCCGCCCAGTCCCCGCCCCGGCCGTCGCGGCTTCGCCGCTTGCCGCTCATCCACGGCCGCCCCTCCCTCCAACCCCGACCCGGCCCTACCCGTGCGCTAGCGTCTGGCCTCTGGCAGAGGCCTTGGAGGGTGGGCGTTTGAGCAGCTTGTCTGAGTTTTGAGTCGGACCAGTAATCATTTTTCCCTGGGGGCGCGTTGCTGGTTGCCGCAGCCTTGCCGGTGCGTGGTGCCGTTTGAGCCGCTCTAGAGTGCGGTGAGCTGGAGCGGGCCGGTACTGCCCCGCTTTTGTGTTTTCTAACATTCCCACCTCTCACCTCTGTTGCAGCCTCGAACAAAATCAAGGCTAAGGGACTGGGCCCAAGGACGGCGAGCGGTGGTCGCCTTTCGAAGCCGGGTCTTGCAGTGCTGCTTATGGATTAACCAGACTGCCTGAATGGTTTAAGGGTTCACAGGGTACGTTTGATTCAGATGCTTCTGGAACGTCGAAATTATCTTCTTTGGAAAGAACCATCCCCTCTTTGGGCTTCAGGGGCCCAGATTGAGGCGCAATGATGAGAGGATGTGGTGGTCCACTCTGATGTCAATCTTGAGGGCTAGGTATGTCCCAACATCTCTTGTTACTACTAACTATTATAATAGCTGCCATTTGTCGAGTATTTTCTGCATGCCAGGCATTGTACAAAGGGGGTTACATATATGGTCCCGTTTCATCTTCAAAAACAACCTTATGGGGTAGACACTAATTATTATCGTCCCCATTTTCCAGGTGAAAACCTTTAGACTCTGCCTTGTGAACTACTTGGGATCACACTGCTAGACCGTGTTGGGGAAGGGGATTCAAACAGTAGTTTAGCTTAACCATCATGCTAATACATCTATTTAGAAGTGTTTCATAAATTTGCCAAACCTCTTATAGAATTCATTTACACTTTATGTCTGTGTGGCCTCTTTACTCATTTTTTAGTATCTGAGTCATACAAGTTCATACTAAAAAAAAAAAAAAAAGAATATTTGCATGAGCAAAAATGATGTGAAAACCAGCTCCCACCATGATAGTTAACATTTTGCTATACATTCTTCTAGATATTTTTCTATGCGTCATGTCAATAAATTTAGAATAGTTTTACATTTGATGTATTCTGAAAATCTATTCATTTATCAAATATTTGATGAGAAGAGTGTTCTAGGTGCTGGGAATTCAGCTGTGAACAAAACAAAGTCTCTTTCTCATAGTAAGGGGGGAGATTGATATTAAGCAATACACATAATATATTACTAAATAATAGCTAATGCCCAGTAATGTGGCAAGTTTTTTAAAAAATTAGGAGAAAGGGGATGCTTTATTAGATGGCGTAGACAAGGAAGTCCTCTTAATTGTAAGCAGAAATCTAATCATTAAATGAGGGAGGCAGCTGTGTGGATTTCTAGAGAGAAATCGTTCCAGGAGAAAAGAAATGGCAATTAAAATAGCCCTGACTGCTTGGCATGTTGGAGAAGAAGCAAGGAGAGCAGTGAGGCTGGAGCACAGCAAATTAAAGCAATAAGTTGGGTAACAGGCAGAAGCCAGATTGTATATCTGGTAAGCCATGTGGGACTTTAGATTTTATTAGAATGTGATACAATACCATGGAAGGGTTGAGAACAAAGGAATAATCAGATTTGTTTTAAAAGGATCACTCTGGCAGTTGTGTGGAGAATAGATAGTAGAAACATAAAAATTGGCCTTTAAATCATTAATCGTCCAGCAATTGTTCAACAGGTAGTTTATGAACGTTGATGTTTCAGCTACACCTTTACAACACCTTCACTTCCACAAACAGAAAATGGGTTCAAACCTTTAGGACTTATCTTCATGTCTTTCTCATCTAAACTGAAAGTTTTTGAGTCTGGCTAGGGCATATATCCAGATCTGGATGTCACGATTGTCCACAAACTGAACATGAGTCATCAATGTTGTACTGTTGTGGAAAAACAGTCCCACATAATACTGGGATCTATTCATTAAAAACACAGCATTCAAGCACCTGGAAATTACCCTTCCTCTTCAATTGATGTTAGGCCCTCATTAGAATTCTAAGCCCCAATTTAGTCATTCATTGTGCTTAAGAAAGATGTGGAGAAATGAAAATGCACCGTGAGGGTAAGGGTAACAGTGATTAAGGCAGTGATTTTCTGGGTTTTTGCCTTCAGCAATGTGGTGGCATCAGGCAAATTTGGAGGAGAAATGAAAGGTCTGTCTCAGATGTCTGTTTTGCAATCTGAGTGGAAATGACATAAATGAATTTAGAGCTCAGAGAGTCCAGGGCTAAAATGCTATAACCACATTAGAATTGTTTCTTTGGATGTGTGTCTTCTTTGTAACCTCAGTGCCCAGAAGTGCATCCTGGACAAATATTTGCAAAACGAGCAGGTAAAGGCAAAGGTATGGATGAAGCCACTCAGGCAAGGAAAAGAGATGTCCAGGCTCTGCAATGTGGCTGCCATTGATTGTCTCCAGATATCCCCACAGGCTCCCCTTGAGCTGCTTAGCTGCTGTGGTTAGAACCAGAAGTGCAGTTTCTGAGCCTTCCTCTCAGTGGAAATGACTATCTGCCATTTCTAGTTACTTGCTATGTCCTGAGTACTGAAAGACTTTATAAACTTTACCTCATCTAATATTTATTTTTCCTGTATCTGAAGTGGCTCTTTGTAGTTTGGTATACAAATATTTTTAAATTAAAAAAATTTTTTTCAATTAATTTATTTCTTAAATTAATTTAATTTTGGCTGCGTTGGGTCTTCGTTGCTGTGTGCGGGCTTTCTCTAGTTGCGGCGAGCGGAGGCTACTCTTCCCTGTGCGCGGGCTTCTCATTGCGGTGGCTTCTCTTGTTGTGGAGCATGGGCTCTAGGCATGCGGGCTTCAGTAGTTGTGGCACGTGGGCTCAGTAGTTGTGGCTCGCGGGCTCTAGAGCGCAGGCTCAGTAGTTGTGGCACACGGGCTTAATTGCTGTACGACATGTGGGATCTTCCCTGACCAGGGAATCGAACCCATGTCCCCTGCATTGGCAGGCTGATTCTTAACCACTGCACCACCAGGGAAGCCCCTTGGTATACAAATAGATAAAAACAAAAAGTCTAAAAGTCTAGCCATGCCTTCTAGGTTTCAACTTCCTCCCCTTTAAACTCTAAGATAACCCCAGTCAATGTAAATTAGCCAGGGATTTATGTCTGGGAGCAGAGCCCTTTGCTTTGCCAATTGCAGGGTCTCTTAAAGGCAAGGAATTTCCTGTGATGCACTCAGTAGAGAGGACTTCATGCCACAAAAGGCCTGAGCCTCAAGGATTGCAGCTCTTAGGTCTCAGCCCTTTGAGTTCACACACTAAGGCACTTTCACAGAAGCCCTGGGTCCACCATGACCCAGCTCAGGACTGGTTCCAGCCTCCTCAGCCTCTGTTGCTGTCTCTTGCATTCAGAAGCATTGCCATCCTCTTGTCCCCATTTACCCCCCCCCCCACCATCTTTTTTTTCTTTTGTGGCCCCCCC